CTGCCAAACGCGAGCCAGCCGCCTCCGTCTGCGCTGCCTTACCTTCTGCACTTGGTCATGGTTGAGCTCAGTGAAGAAGTAGGCGAGCAGATGCGAGGCAATCATCCTGCCACAGTCCGACTGCGCGGAGTTGGGAAACCGAAGTCTGAGTGCGTGCGAACCTCCAGGCGCTGTTGGACTGCTTTGTACCCGGGCTCCCTGCCGGGCCGGGGTCGGCAAATGCGGGAGGCTCACAAAGAAAGCTAACGGCGCGCCCAGCTAGGAGGTCTCGGGTCTCTAAGAAGCAGGGTTTTGGAGTCACAACTGCTAGCAGCCGATTAAGTATCACTCTCGGTGACGTGTCCGGTTGCCCCGCGTCAAGGCGCTCCTTCAGCCAGATGATCTTGAAGACTCAACTTGGGAAGACTCGAACTTCACTAGGGCGATCGGACTTCTCCGACTCGCACGCGGATCCCCACCCGGGATTTTCTTAGCTGAGTGACACGGGTTGCTAGCGGCGGCCCCGGACTCCTGAGCTGGAGTTTCGTGCAACAATGTGGCTTATTGAGCCGCTGCCGGCTCGCGGGCCGCCCGGTCAGTGACGTGCGCACACCCATTGGCTGCGCGGGGAGGGTGTCGGGCGCCGGGGATGGGACGTGTGGTCCGTGGCAAGAGGCTGGGGCGGAAAGGCGCATGAGCCACCGCCGCGTCAGGCTCGGCTATGGGTTGGGGGCGCGTGATCACAGACCTGGGGTGTGGGGCGGCTGGAAAGACAGGTCACTGGACCAGCACACGCCCTGTGCAGAGACACCGTCTGGTATGTCCGGATCATGTGAGGGGCTCCTACTGCCCGGTCACAGGTTTAAAATCTAATTCTTACCTATCTGTGGTTCAACCGGTCTGCAACACTGATGAAAAGTGAGTCGCTTTAGCTGCTGCTAACTCCATGCCAGACGTTACCAAAGTCAGCCCATCTAACCTTTGCGCTACCGACAGCATGTGGGTTTTACTAACTCAGGAAACTGAGGCACACGACGTCAAGAGATCTGTTCAAGGTGATATAGGTATTTACTGGCAGGGGAGGGTGAGTGAGGAAGACCTCTTTGTCTCTTCAATTTTGAGGCCCTGTTTCTTTCCTGCATCTCTAACAGCCCGGGAAGTAGAAGGCTAGAAAGAATTGTCTAGCTGTGAGACTATACCTGGGGGAAACTAGGTGGAGGGTGAGTAACTGGATGATGTGGGATGGGATGAGGAGAGATGGCTTACAGATGTGGAGAGGAATGGGAACCCCAGCTACAATAATGCCTGGTATCAGATTACAGATGATAGATAGATAGATAGGTAGATAGATAGATAGATAGATAGATAGATAGATAGATAGATAGATAGATAGATAGATAGATAGATAGATAGATAGATAGATAGATAGATAGATAGATAGATAGATAGATAGATAGATAGATAGATAGATTGATTGATTGATTAGTGGAAGCTGGCACGACCAAAATACTGATTTAGCATACGTGAGGTCGATGCCAGTGGAAAATGGCAAGTCTGTGGTTGAGTGAAGATCTGCTGTGTTCTGCTGAGAAGTTTCTCAGAGACTTGCTATTCTATAAGTAATAAATGCTCATTTTCAGAAAACAAGAATATCTTCATAAACAACAAAACACATCTATGATCCAGCCTCTCACCAGAACTTCAGGAAAGCTATGTACCCTTGCCAAATACACATCCTCCTCCCCCTTCTCCTTCCCTGAAGTCCGATCAGGACTGGACCCAAACTGCTTTATGCCACAGTCACTGTAATGACCTTCACGCTGCCAAATCTTGTGTTTCCCTCTCTTCCCCACCTTGTCTGACTCCACCTTTTGATGATATCGAGGGCACTTGATCACATCCTCCACGGGGACACACCTTCCTGGCTCAGACAGAGCCTGGGAGGGCAGACTCTGCAGGATTCCCGCTAAGCTCACTCCCGCAGCCCCTCAGCCAGTGTTCTCTCTACTAGGAAATTCTGGGGTGTTCCAGGGCTGCCCTCCACCCTCTTATCCGATCTACTTAAGTTCTCTCCCTGAGCGATCTCTCTCAGCCCCATGAAGTTACATCACCTCGGTGCTGATGACTCGCAAAACTAAGTCTACAGAAGACCTCTCCCCGAATGCCAGACTCACTTCCACTGCCTTCGTCCTCTCCACTGAAGGGCTGCCATCGCACACTTAATGTGTCCAAAGTGAAAAACGACTCTTCTCAAATCTCTTCTTTCTCACCTGTCTCAGCAAACGGTGTCACCAGGTTATCCTTGATTCCTCCTGCTACTCATCCTCACACCTAGTCTATCCATTAGCAAATGGCCACAGCTTGACCCAGAAAATAAACACTGTGTCTAACCACTTCTCGCCACAGTCTTGGACACTTCCTGTCCAAGCCGATGACAGCAAGAACCAACGCCACATCATCCTACCTTAGGCTCCTGTTTCCGTCGTGGCCCACCTCTCCCCTGGTCCCTGTAATCTCAGCTTCCCTGAGGAGCCAAAGTGACATGTTTAAAATATAAGTCAGACCATGTCTTCCCCAGCTCAAAGTCATTCAAGGCCTTCCGAGCTCTCACAGTGACTGCTAAGGCTTTATGATATGGCTTCTGGCTCCCTCTCCACTCCGTCCCGTACGATTTTTCCAGCTTATTGCTTGGCACTCATTCCAGCGTGCTTTCCTTGAAAATCCAATTCCTCCCCCACAAGGGCTTTACTCTTCCTTTTTCTCCTCTCCAGAGTATTCACCAGATTCATCTTCAACCGACTCTTCCTCCTCATTGGGGTTCATGTTGCCTCCTCAGAGGGCTTTCCTCCTGACCAATTTCTCAACCCATTCCCTAAGTCACTTGGCCCTGATTGACTTCATATTTACTTTCTGCATATTCTTTTTTTAGACTTATTTACTTATTTAATTTTATTCGTTGGTATTATTATTATTATTTCATTTTACCAGAGAGAGAGAGAGAGAAAGGGAAAATGAGAAAGCAAGCCTCCAGGTCTGGACTCGAACCATGGTCAGTGTGGGAGTCCAGCGCCCCCACCGCCACACCATCTGCTAGCCCCCATTTTCTATATATCCCTTTTTTTTTTTTTTACTTTTTTTTTTTTTTGGGAGGTTTTTGTTATTGGGCCCCTGCACTTGCCAGAAAGACATAGAGAGACAGAGAGACAGAAAGCGAGAAATCACCCCCCCAGGGGTGATGGCCACGCCGCAATCCCTTCTCCTCCATTTCTCCTCTCAGGATCTTGGGCACACACGCACACACGCCTAGCATGAGTTTAAGTCACTGGGTCCAGGACTAGAACCGTGGTCAACTACGTGGAAGTCCAGCGACATAGCCATTACGCTAACTGCTGGTCCCAGCATTCTATATATTCCTTATCTCCATACTGGAGTGTGAGCTACGGGAGGATAGAGGTGGTGTCTATGCCATTCTCTTACACTTTCGGTGCTAAAATGGTGCCATCACATTGTAGGCATACAATAAAAACTTGTTGCATAAATTAATAGAAGAAATTTTTTTGAATTGCATGTATTTATTTTTATTTAGATATATGGAGATTTTATTTTATTTAGATATATATCATGTTTAATTTAAAAAGTAACTTTACAAATGAAATATATGTTAAAGCACATTATAAGCTGCACAGTTCTCTACAACTGTGAAATGACACTGTTTAACAAAAGGTAACATAGTAAGATTATTGAACAATATGTTAAGATAACCTCTTTAGTTATAATTCATGGATTTATAAACAGAAACAATCTTTGCACAAGTAAAGAAGATTAAGAAGCATATATGTTTATTGGGAACCAGCAGTTAGCGTAATGGCTATGTCACTGGATTCCCACGTAGTTGACCGCGGTTCGTGTCCCGGACCCGGTGGCTTAAAACTCACGCCGGGCGCGTGTGCGTGCGTGCCCAAGACCCCGAGAGGAGAATGGAGGAGAAGGGATTGCGGCGTGACCATCCCCCCTGGGGGGTGATTTCTCGCTTTCTGTCTCTATGTCTCTCTCTGTCTGTCTGGCGAGCGCACGCGCCCTACAGTGAAAATCTCTCCAAAAAAAAAAAAAAAGAAGCATATATGTTTATTGATCTCAGGACCAAATTGCATTTAGTAGTTATAAAGTAAACTTGGGTTTGTTTTGGTTTAAAGGTATTTTGATTTTTTCAACCTTGTCATCCAAGTTCCATTCTTTTTCTTTTTATTTGTTGAAAGAATATTTATTTTTTTAAAGAATTATTTATTTATTTAATTATATTTGTTATTATTATTTTTTAATTCGACCATACAGAGAGTTAGAGAAAGTGAGAAAGCAAGCTGCCAGGTCTGGGATTCAAACCATGGTCAGTCATGTGGGAATCCAGTGCCTTTAAACCACCACATCACCTGCCGGCCCCTGAAGGAATATTTAAAACAATTTACACTGTGCTACTTTAGCTTTTCTTTTTATTTTTTATACAGTATTACAGATAACTATTGCCTAAATTTTGCATAGCAATACTCACACAGAGGCGGAGTTTATAGTTATATATACTTTTTTTTTTTTTCAAATCTTTTTCTTCCTCTTTATCTACCCTAGTTTACACACTCAGTATTTCTCAGCTGAGTACAACCACCTCATAACCGGGCTTCTCTCTTTAGATATAGACACACTATGATCTAGCGATCTAGATTAATATGACAGACATGCTTAAAGGGGAAAGTGATGGGACCAGATTTTTTTCAGTCTATTTTACTTATTCATTCCATGATAGGAAGCCACAAAGAAAGAGAGAGTCCCAAAAGGGTCTTCATGCTGCAATCCTATCCCCAGCCCTAGCCAGCCAGGGTGGCAGGTACCATGCACATCCCCATGACACAGGGAGACATCAGGATGCAAACCGGGACCCTCTAGGTTACTGCTGTGCCACTGCAGCTGGCCCACACCTGTGTTTGTAGGTTAAAGTTCTCTACATAACCCCATTACTTATGATATGTGGCAAACTCTATAATCTTAACTATTTTTTTAAAAAAAATTGACATGTGGAGGTCTTTGGAGGTCTTTTGGCAAAGGGTTTCTGCCCAGGACTGGTTTCTAAAGCCCAACAACCAGGCTCAGCTCAGTCCTACGTGGGGCTGGAGCCAGGGCCAGCCGATGCAAAAGCAGAAAGTGGGCATTTGTCATTTGTCAAACTATCCCTGATGGACTCTGACCTATGGTTCTGTCTCTTCCTTCTCCAAAACCATCATATATTCCTAACACATATATATGATATATATATATATATATACACATAATAAACATAATACATATAAACCAACTTTTAAAAAAAGAAAAGTAGCCTATTGAAGAATATTAAGACCTTGTAGCTTCAGGAGGGCCAGAGAATGAGGCTCAGAGTTTAACCAGCCAAGAATCATGCCGACTTATACTATGAAACTGCCCTTGCTATGGCCACTGAGCTGACATCTCTGCCCATACCCCTGCTGCTGAGCATGGGAAGCCTCGGCCAGGAAGGACCACGGTCCCCTTTGACGGCTGGATGTC